TACTCGAAATTTTTGTATTCAAATATCTAAACATATAAAAATCTCTCCATTCCTTGTTTTCTCACCATTATTTAACAGGCCTTTTTTCTTTCTTTTTTTTTTATTTTTTTTTTTGCGGTATGCGGGCCTCTCACTGTTGTGGTGGAGCACAGGCTCCGGAGGCACACGCTCAGCAGCCATGGCTCACGGGCCCAGCCGCTCCGCGGCATGTGGACCGGAACACGAACCCGTGTCCCCTGCATCGGCAGGCGGACTCCCAACCACTGCGCCACCAGGGAAGCCCCAAAAGGCCTTTTTTCTGATTAAACTCCAGTCCTGTTCTTCCCTGGATTCCATCTCAAAACCATGTGGAGGCTCCAGCAGAACGTCAGGTGGTCTAACCCCTGTGTCATTTAGTTCCCTGACCAGAAAGCAAGAGCGCAGTTTCCTTTGTTCTGTGTTATTATAAGAAGAGCAAACAATATAAATCGTCAGTAAGATCTTTTATTGGTTCACTAGAAGATGCAGAAACATAAGCTAGTTGAGAAAGAGCAAGGAGGACAAACCAAAGAATGGCCCACAGCAGAAACGGAAACACAAGTTTTACATGAGACTTGGAAGAAGCAGCTTGACTGAATTTCTCATCATCTAGAACAGAATTTCTTAGCATACTTTGAAAAGTACAATAAACTGTACTTAATAGGAAAATTTTCAGTAAAAGCTTATTGCCATCCTATCGAAGGAGCTGGGGTCCAGAGAACCAGGAAAAGATTGATGTCTGACTCTGTGATTAACTGAGAGTTTTAATAAAGGATGAATGTCACTGAATTGCTACAAAGAAACTAGGAATCATAGCTACTACATCAATCAGTAGCCTACCCAGTATTTATTTTAAAAACAGAACTATGAACAACTAAAATAAATATCTCTGGGGCTACCGCAGAATGGCCCCCATGGTTTTTCTAATCCACTTAGAGTCTTACAAGTCTTACACTTTTAACATTTTCTTTTAATACCTGTTGACTCTGGGCACTGGGCTGGCAGGGCCCAGCCCTGGGCTCCCTGGCTGAGGCTCCTGCCCCCTGCTTCCACACGTAGGCATCTCTCGGGACAATTGGCACAAGAGCCGCAAGACCGGGGACAAGAGAAAGCCCTACCACAGGAAGTGGAGGTATGAGCTGGAACGCCCTGCTGCCAACACCAAGATTGGACCCCGCCGCATACACACAGTCCATGTGCAAGGAGGGGCAACAAGAATTACCCGGCTTTGAGGCTAGACGTGGGGAACTTCTCCTGGGGCTCGGAGTGTTGTACACGCAAGACAAGGATCATTGATGTTGTCTACAATGCATCCAACAACAAACTGGTCCGTACCAAGACCCTGGTGAAGAACTGCATCATGCTCACTGACAGCACACGGTACCGGTAGTGGTACAAGTCCCACTGTGCACTGCCCCTGGGCCACAAGAAGGGGGCCAAGCTGACTCCTGAGGAGGAAGAGATTTTAAACAAAAAACGATCAAAGAATATTCAGAAGAAATATGATAAAAGGGGGCTTCCCTGGTGGCGCAGTGGTTAAGAATCCACCTGCCAGTGCAGGGGACACGGGTTCAAGCCCTGGTCCAGGAAGATCCCACATGCCACAGAGCAACTAAGCCCATGCACCACAACAACTGAGCCTGTGCTCTAGAGCCTGCAAGCGACAACTACTGAGCCCATGTGCCACAACTACTGAAGCCCACGCGCCCTAGAGCCCATGCTCCACAACAAGAGAAGACACCGCACTGAGAAGCCCGCGCACCACGACAAAGAGTAGCCCCCACTCGCCGCAACTAGAGAAAGCCCACGCACAGCAACAAAGACCCAAAGCAACCAAAAAGTAATTAATTAATTTAAAAAAACTTTCAACATAAAATACACTGCTATAAATAAATTTTTTTAAAAACAGAAAGAAATATGATGAAAGGAAAAAGAATGTCAGGACTTCCCTGGTGGTACAGTGGTTAAGAATCCGCTTGCCAGTGGAGGGGGCACTGGTTCAAGCCTTGGTCTGGGAAGATCCCACATGCAGCAGAGGAACTAAGCCTGTGCACCGCAACTACTGAGCCTGCACTCTAGAGCCCACAAGCCACAACTACTGAGCCCCCATGCCACAACTACTGGAGCCCGCTTGCCTACAGCCCATGCTCCACAACGAGAGAAGCCACCTCAATGAGAAGCCTGTGCACTGCAGCGAAGAGTAGCCCCTGCTCGCTGCAACTAGAGAAAGCCCTCAGGCAGCAACGAAGACCCAACGCAGGCAAAAATAAATGAATGAATGAAGAAAAAAAGAAAAAGAATGCCAAAATCAGCAGTCTTCTATAGGAGCAGTTCCAGCAGGACAAGCTTCTTGCATGCATCACTTCAAGAGCAGGCCAGTGTGGCTGAGCAGATCACTATGTGCTAGAGGGAAAGGAGCTGGAGTTCTATCTGAGGAAAATCAAGGCCCAGAAAGGCAAATAAATCCTCTTCCCTCCTATCTTAGCTCATATAATAAAGGTGTTTATTGTTCTAAAAAATGTGGGTTACCCACATTACAGCCCTTTTCAGATCACAGCTTCTAGGGCGAGGGAGATGAAAACAAGAACATTTACCCAAGGAAAACAGAGAACTGGGCAGATTAACCCAAACAGGGAAGAAGCATAACAGTGAAGTGCTACTGGGCTTACCTAGGAGCTAGGCTGAGAGCTGTCAAGAAGGAATTCTGCCTAGTACTGTCAGAACTTTTATTGTCTCAAGAATTCAGATTCTTACCTTAAAATTCCTGACTTTTTAATATAGTTAACTATTTCTTTTTAACTGTGGGAGGCAAACAAATCTGCAACCATATTTCCAACTGAAGGTCATAAGTTTGCCAATGAACATCAGTCCGCAAGAAAAGAATCCAGGAGGGATCAGAATGCCCAGCTCATGGGAGGAGGGGGCGGTTCAGGCAGGACTAGCTAACGGGACTAGGCTCCCTGGGCCAGTCAGCAGTAGCCAGAAAGGAGATGGATTCTTCTTGTTTTTTCTTTTTTTTTTTTAATTGAAGTATAGTTGATTTACAATATTGTATAAGTTTCAGATGTACAGCACAGTGATTCAGGTTTCTTGCAGATTATATTCCATTATACGTTATTACAAGATATCGGGTATAATTCCCTGTGCTATACAGTAAATCAATGCTAAGTGTCAGAGGCTGGGCTGTTACATGTTGTGACAACCTCTTCATTCTGTCCTTTCTGGTTCTCATGGTAGGGGAGGCTGCTGCCAAGAAAGACAGTGGGTCAGGTTCTGAAGTAAGAGGGTTTCCACTGTTCTCTTTATTCTGCTTAAGCTAAAGCAATTAGGGCACTTTTAACTTTGTATCATCTTTGTATTATCATTTACCATCTTCAAAGTGACTTAACAATTACAAGGTATTTCAATTGTATGGGTCCATGTTTCTAAGCAGGTAATGTAGGTTTCTGAGGTTTTTTTTGGTTAGTAAAGGACCACACTTTCCCACGTTTACTGTTACATTCCTATTCTTTTCTTATGATATTATTCAAATCATGACAAATCATTATTATACAGCAAAAAATTATTAATGTTTCCCCTTAAAATTTATTTTAGATTTTAAAATAATTCATATTTCTAGTCTTATCTGAAACCCTTTTGGAATCCTCAGTTTTTCAGATTTAATAAGTGTAATATAGCACATATACCATATACACTCCCAGCAAGAACTGGACAGCCCCACATAATTAAACACATTACTAATTCTGCACACACACACACACACACACACAAATCACACTAAGATAAAGACTAAAAATAGCTTCATCTAAGGTCAGGTTTTGCAACTGAAAGAGTTTTTGAAGTTTGGGTCTTCAGCATTTTGGGGATTTAGGAAGGTGGGTAAAGGACTATAGTCCTAAATTACGTGAACCTGCAAAATTCCACAATGACAAGCCACAGCAGAAATTAACAGAGTTGAGGACCACCAGCCAGAAGCAATGCCATTCTGCTGTATTGGGGGAACCAAAATACAGAGAAATCAGTGGGAGAAATTAGTGGAAGTAAAACAAAACAAAAACAAAATAAAAATGAGTAAATCCATTTCTGAGGAAGGTGCTCTAGGAAAATAGCAGAATTAAATAAACTAAAATCAAACATCAAGATCACCAACAATCTACTGTAACCAAGTAGACAATGGCATGTGGTCAAAAAGGGCAACACTGTCTCCCAGCCATTCCCTAGAACCCAAGAAAATTTCTAAAAGGGAGGAACGTGGCTGGGCCTGCAGTACTAGATGAGGCACTCCCAAGATGGCAGGAGAAAAAAAGATGGGTCAGAGGCCACTGTATATGCATGCACCTCATCTAGTGGTAGAACCAGAGGCTAAAACAACTGAAAAGCCAGGAGCTGGCTGACAACATGGCCCTCCTCTGCCACCTGCTCATTGACCAGGTTCTTAGTGAGCCACTGCCCTCTGCTCCCATCAAAGGAACTTTGCACTAGCTGCTTATCACAAAAAAAAGTTGAACAGTTCTGTTGTCAGTCAACTCCACCAAATCACTAAGCAGTTTTAAGTAACTTTCACTTAATAATGAAGAAATATTCATATAAAGTGATGAACATAGACAGTTTACATGTGCTAAAGAAGACTTTTATACATAATATGATAGTTTATGGAAAAGAGCCAGGTACACAACATACTTAATGAATTCCACAAGGATCTAAAACTGATGTAGGGATTTGTTTTCTCTAACACATTAATTCAGTAGGCCGATATAAAATTGTATACCCATGTATATACTAAACCCATAATTACCAGACTTGTGAAAAATGTCTATCCATATCCTTAACTTTATCTTTCAAATCCAAATGATAATAAATCATTACCTTAACTTCATTAACCTAAAGCTTACTCCATAAGATTTGGAGGGTATGCAGAATGTCAGTATTATAAAACAGTATCAACATGGAAAGCAACAAAGTAAACTTTGATTGTCTCCTACCTCTGCCCGACCCTCATAGTAGGTTAACATGGACTCTGTTAGCACAAAAAGTCTCTCTTTGTAGTTTAAGGGCGATGTCTTCTTTTTCTGCTGTGACCTTTTAATAAGAATCTCTTCCAGAATAGTGTTAAAATTCATCTCGGTCTTCTGATCACTGTTTCTCCTGCCATTGAAGATCCCAGGGTTCTGAAGTAAGAAAATAAACAGTTGCAATAAAATGCGACATGTTAATTATCCAAGAAGGCTGTCATTCCAAATTTACCAAAACAGATTTTACTCTGACCACAGCTAGAGCCGAGGAATGTTACTCCATGCACCTGGACTAAAAATGCCCAGGGCATGAAAGTTCAACCTCCTCTTCTTCCCCAGCCCCATCCTGTTCCTCCATGTCCCTGGATTTCATAAGAAAATCTAATCAAGGTTTGCCATGATGATGATGATTCACTCCTTTGTCCCTCCCTGCCATCCCTTAGCTTGCTGGCACACTCTTCTGCTATCTGATTGCAGGGAAACAAATATCTCAGCAGGAAAAGTACATTTCATTGCCTGCATGGCTGGTTTAGGCTGATATTTAAATTGCCTCACGATCTTGGTACACAAAACAGACAAGCACACAGGCACGGTAGACTGTGAACAAAATGCATTACCATAGTGGTGGATAGCATTCAATCTCCAGCTCTAGTAAGGATGTAATCTTGATCAAGCATCCTCGCCACCAGAGCCACGAGGATGTTCTCTGATACCTACACTACCATGCTCCACATTTCTCTTCCCTATGGCTCCTGTCTCAACCACAAGAGGAAGGAAACCCACCCAGTTACAGCTAATCCTACTCAGCCAACCTACTCTACACAGCTGCCCCTCAGGGCAGAGCTCACCTGTATAAGGTTCTCAGCCATATATTTGGAGCCCCACGTCTAGACTATCCATGCCTAGACTAATAAGCCTTCTAAAATCCAACAAAATTTAAGATACTCAGAAAAGGCCTGAACATTCTTACCTGAGACAAGTTGAATGGACAACAGCCCTTTCTTCCCTGCCCTCCACCACACCCTGACAAGAAGTCATTGTGTATCAAACCACAGAGGCAACAGGAGTCATGTGAAGAGCACAGCCGGGAACCTGATACTGCCAGTGAGGAAGCCTACCATCTTCACGCCCAACCCGACACCTCGGAAACACCCTTGCAACTCCCTATTACTGAACTCTCGTCATCCAATCAGGCCCTCCATTTTCTGGAAAGTTACTTTACAACAGCTTAACCTCTGAATATCATCAGTTTCCTTCATTCATAAAATATGGAGGTAAATACCACAAGGTTACTGAGATGTGGGAGAGAACTTATTAAGAAAACACCACACAATCATTAATCATTAGAGAAATGCAAATCAAAACTACAATGAGATATCATCTCACACAGGTCAGAATGGCCATCATCAAAAAATCTAGAAACAATAAATGCTGGAGAAGGTGTGGAGAAAAGGGAACCCTCTTGCACTGTTGGTGGGAATGTAAATTGATACAGCCACTATGGAGAACAGTAAGGAGGTTCCTTAAAAAACTACCAATAGGGGCTTCCCTGGTGGTGCAGTGGTTGAGAGTCTGCCTGCCGATGCAGGGGATGCGGGTTCGTGCCCCGGTCCGGGAGGATCCCACATGCCACGGAGTGGCTGGGCCCGTGAGCCATGGCTGCTGAGCCTGCGCGTCCGGAGCCTGTGCTCCACAACGGGAGAGGCCACAATAGTGAGAGGCCCGCGTACCGGAAAAAAAAAAAAAAAACAAAACTACAAATAGAACTACCATACGACCCAGCAATCCCACTACTGGGCACATACCCAGAGAAAACCGTAATTCAAAAAGACACATGCACCCCAATGTTCATTGCAGCACTATTACCAATAGCCAGGACATGGAAGCAACCTAAG